TTGGCCTTGTTGCGAATGCATTGCAGCAATATTAATTGAATTAGCACCGCCAACAATTGCATTTACAGGACCCATGCCACCGGGCATGGGTGGTGATTTGCCCGAACGTGGACTGGAATTGGGTGTGGAGCGAGGTGACGTTGTTTGCTGATTCTTTAGCATACGCATGAGTCCTTCCAACTGTTCCATTAGTTGACGACGCGAGTCCTGCAATGCGCCCAAATGACCTTCCAGTTCACCCTTGCGTTGACGCAATGCGCGTAGCTCATTTATAAGTGCCGGATTTTCTGGTGTGATTTGCTCAACTTCTTGTTGACGACGAAGTCTGGCTATTTCACGCATTATCTCCTTATTTTTGGATTCCAGTTGAGCGATTAGTTCGCGTTGCGCACGCGAATTATCCGAACCGATACTACTGGCGTTGTCAACGTTACCAGCATTGACCGGCTGCAATTAAGTGAAGAAAAAAAATTTATTAAAGAAAAAATTGATGATTTAAAAGTTTCCAACTTACAGCACGATTTTCCTGGGCAAGACGTGCGGCATAGCGTGCAATTAAACGATGCTCCTCATCATTGGCCGAAGCGGTGGCCATGCGTGACATGCTAGCACCGGTGGCACTGTCCAGACTGCGTCCCGTGGCACGTGAATCTAACGTGCTGGAGCGATCATATAACAGGCCACCACTATGTGCGTTACCGGGCACACCGCCATGCAGTAGTGGCGGATCCGTGAAACCATTGTGTGATGGTAGGGGTGATGGCGGTACAATATGCGAGAGATTCAAAGTCTTTTCGGGATGTTCGGGGAATCGTGGCAACACTTGTGTCGTCTTCTCGGGCACACATCGGAAGCTCTTGCGCAACGAATGGCCTATCTGTTTACTGGGCGATTTATAACTCGAATATTCTTTGACTTCGTGATCATTCTGATGATTCAGTGATGTCTTGCCGTGCCAAAAACACTCTTGACATAATTGGTAGGCGTGGCACCGCTGACAACGATAACGAAATCCCGTAAAGTTCTCCTTGTGACATACCGAACAGATAGTCGGATGTACAATTGTCTCAACAGTGGCCAAACGATGCAACAACGGCAACCAAACAAGGCACGATGGACCCGGTTCAGACATTAGTGTTGCCATGAAATCATTCACTGTGACCTTATTCTCAGCTGGAAATATTTCCTCCTCCAAGCCGTCTTTATAATGGAATGTAGGAGATTCATATACAGCCGCAGGCAAAGCCAACACTTCACGTAGAAATTCGCCCAATTTCCAAGGTACTAATTGACCAGCKCCATCAGATATTTGCGAAAAAATGTCTGGAAAGGGTAGAATGCAAATAATTATTATATATGGAGTAAATTATATAAAATTAGTGTTGATTAAAAGAAATAAAAACTTAAAATATAATATAACAAAAACAAACAAAATGTTGATAAAGTAACACTACAAGTTGGAAGAGTTGCCGGCAACATACGCTTTGCATTACACAATATTATAGAGGATTTACAAACTAGGACTCACAAAAAGTTTCCTATAATAATATTTACTGTAAAATTAAATAATAAATAATATACTTTTTTTTACTTACATCTCAATTTATCCACCAATTTTCCGGAGCACATAGTCGCCAACGCCACCTTGATTGAGAAAACGCGAATTTTGCCAGAATTATCGCTAAAAAATTAAAAAATAACTGGTTAAAAAAGCACATGACAACTTAGTATGCTTACTCACCTTGTATACGCTGCTAACAGCCAATTGAGCAACAGGCCGGCCTTCGAATCAACGGGAACTTGCTGGGCCGTTGGAAGACGTTTATTGAGGTTATGATAGAGTGATGAAACGAGCGTCTCTAATCGTGCCACGCTCACTTCGCTTTGTGGCTCCAATGTATTCAAACCATTCTCACGGAATGCCTCAATTACATTCCATATATCGACCAAGTGTAGATTTGTCGACTTTTGTATATAACGCAATTTTGAGGCCGTGCGGTACGAAGCAAAACGTATTGAATCAAATGTCTGCAAACGTAAATCCTGCAGAATAGCTATACTCGATTCCAGTTCCATTTCAGGCGTTGCAAAGTATAAGGCTTTTATTGGAAAAATATTGTGTATTAAATTTCTGCTGTKTTTACTTTAATGTGGAGCGAATACTGAAAATAAATTAATAAAGCCAAATGTGTTATTTAAATCGAATATAAAGTCTAAGTAATTTCATTGTAGCATAAATAAAACAAGAAAAAACATATGGTTATACCTTCACACGTCATTTTTTTATAACATAAAAGGGTATAAAAATATTTAAATTCACTCATAGCTAAATATATACATATGTGTGTAAATACATACATAGGTATATGCATTGTTTTACTGAAGAGTGCCAATGAGTGCAGCCTTAAAACTGTTCGAATGCTACAACATTCACCCACTGATATTCAAATGCAGCAATATGTCCGTGGACAAATATTGATTTGTGACATTTATAAATGTGTAAATTGCATTAGAAAACAGACAATTAGTAATATTATTCATGGAAAAATAAACGCCTCACAGTTAAATGTAAACCCTTGATACAGATAGTTTGGTATACATACCTACATAAATCAGCAATATTAAACTACGGAGAATAGGGACAATTTTGTAATACACTGATAAACATACAAATGTATTTAAGTAAAACTGCCAATCATTACATATGCCTTATGAAGATAAATGAGAAATAAAGTTAGTAAATTACTATTAAAAACTATATCCTAATATAGAATCTTCCCAGAGGGCGCCAGTCAATAGCTTCTGACGTACAAATGTACATTTATTATTTTCATCTTTATCATCTCCCCACACTGCTAAATTTGTAATATTTCATAGGTGGAAGATTCATTGCACTATGCACACATCTTCATGTGCCAGTAGTTGGCATGTAGGCGTCTGCTGATTTCAAAACTTCATATATTTGGTATGTGTTGTTGTGCCGTGTGTCCAAATATTATTATTCATCACACAAAAAATTTAAAATACAAAAAAAAAACAGCAAAATTTCAACACACGTTTGGCTTAACACAAAAAAAAATTTAGCTCAGCCGAAAAATAGCAAAATCACAATATAATGGCGAGGGGAGTGTTTAGTATGGGCGAGAAGTCAAAATAGCTTGGTGACATCATTTCCTCTAATTACGGYGGCAATGGCAAACTGAACTGTTTACAAACAGAGATCTCTGTGAGGCTGCAGTGATGCGCAGCGCTGCTAACCAAAACGATGCTATGCAACGCGCTTCGCTGATTATATGCCTTTTAATCGCTAGCGGATTATTATTTCATTTCTCTTTCKTAATTCTAACGAGTGATAAACGAGAGTACCTATAATTATTGTTACTAAATGTAATTAATGTAATTTAATACAAAAATTCCCGATAACATTTCCAGTTAACGCGTTTTGCTACACGTTTGCTAGCTTCTGAATAGCTGTCGAGCTCAACTTGTCAGGTGTTTATGCAAAACAAATAGGTAAGCGTCATCGGCTTAAAATAATTCTGGTATTTCGGTTTTAATTATAATTTTTTTATAATATCTTTTTTCTATTTTTTCGCTAAATATGTTCGTTTAACTGTGCACGCCACCACTGTCATACAGTGAGCAATTGATGTGATTTAACTTTAATAAATATATTTCATAAAGAGCTTTATGAATTTGTAGTTTCTGTAAGTATTTAGATTTTCACTTGTTCCATTAASAATATCTGCTGCACAAAACTTTTACTTTAAATTGCCGCATTTTTAATTCAAACAGACGGTATAAATTTCTGACCCACAAACCGCACATCACAATCATTAATTCCGACCAACAGCCAATTACTCTTAATCCATTGAAAATCAACTCAACTGGAGCAGTGTGCACACTGATTTCTGTCTTCAAAAGATTATGATACACCAAATTACTTTGCAGTTGCTGTCAATAGCAGTATCATACTTATATGGTGTAGATAGTGGTAGCAGAAAATCTAATCATGCGCAGTTGCAGTATCCCTTTTCGCAGACCGGTAGGTAGAGTTTTTGCTTTATGAATGAGGTTTTGCGGACGATGGACTAATTATGAGGCGTATATCGCGATATTGTTATATTCTTTTACAAACATACCAGCTAAAACTTAATAATTTTTTCATTGAAGCGTACATATTTCAAACATACGTATCGATTTATAATTATTTTCCAGCACGAGTAGAATGGTAAAGCGTACTTATAATTGTCCAATTGTTAACTTTACTATATTTTGAACTCCACTGGACCACTTTCATAGCGATGCTATCCATCGTCATTATGYTGCTTACCTTTCTGCAATTTTCTATCACCAATGGTACTTTACTGCGGCACGAAATAGTTTTCATTTCACTTCACTGCATTCCTTTCACAGCCTCTTATTTAATTCACATATCTTCACTTTTATCTCTTGCCAGCTTAATGTATTTGATTTGATTTGATAAATATGC